ATTTTCATGCGGATATCTGACATAATCATTTCACATGCACATCGACTCCCTTGGTCACAGGGTGTACACACACAGTCATAGTCTAGGACTGAGCGGTGCTGCACATTTGCAAGCGAATGAGCCCTGCTTTGACTCGTTGCACCGCACAATCCGATGCCGGGGGCGGTCGTAAGGTCCTTCACCCATATAACGAGGAAACCAATTTAATTACGAGCATTTCAATCGATGAGTTTGACGTCGACGATAATCTGACAGTCACTTCCTGGTGCCTGCAGACGGGATCTGCCAGCTACATTTTGGCTCAACAAACCGCACAATAATTTGAACCAGCGGGAGGTAATCGCAAGTGGACCCCAGCTGGTTGCAGTGACAACCTGCCTAAGCAAAAACACCGCCAGACCGTTGCAGGATCAGCCGGTGCGAGCAGCGCGGCGGCCGACGGCCAAGGCTCTATAAATCCTGCTAGATGCCGTTTCTGCGGCTAGTTAGCTCTGTCGGCATCCTAGGTTTGTGCGTCGATCATATGAGTTGGGTTGGGAGGTGGCTGAGGGATAGACTCTGCAGAGGCGCGGGCGGCACGGCTGCCAACTGAAGGCCAGTATACAATTGGTCGCAATGATCCTGCGTCGTCCTCCATGCCACAGAGGAATGTTGCTCTTGGTTTCCAGGAAGCTCCACGAGCAGCTTGGGGCCCATCAGCCTGGAGGACGTCCCGAAGGCATGCCTCTGAGACAAATCTGTGTGCCACAGTGGGGCTGGCATCTTGCGGTTTCCCCTTGAAGAGGAGTTCCACCGGTCGAGTTCAGGTCCAGCTGGAACTCAGGACGGGACATGCAATGCAGAGGCCATGACATGCAGAGCCCCTCTGTGACCCAAGGCTAGAGAGGAGAAGACCGCCTCTCACGAGTTCAGTTCCTTGACATGAGCGTGAAGAGCGCTGTCTCGGTCTTTCGGCGTCTCCTTGCAATGTGCTTGCAATGTCAAAGGTTACAATCGCGCCTTGGCCATGCTGAAATTCGCGGAGACTCGAGCAGGCGACGGGCGACGGGAAGATCTGAAAGTCTGCGAACGTCTGCCCGTCCTAAAACCATCACTAGGTGGCTCGGGCGTGCCCAGCGCCAGATCCCAAAATCCCTTCTTGGAGCCTGAAGAAGAGGGCAGCGGCTGAGGCCACGAGCTCCATGCAGAGTTTGCCAGGGCGAGTGGAGGAGACCTTGCAGGCCTGGCCCCCGCAGGGCACACGCACTGGCCCGCACTGGCCCGCGGCACTGCGGCTCTCTTTTCCTTTCTTTGGAAGGGCCTGGCTCCGGTGAAGAGCTCCAAGAGTGGTAGCCTCCGCCTCGACCAAAGAAGGCGAGAACAGAGCGATTCGGTGATTTCCCCGAGGCTCCGCACAGCGCTTCACGCGTGTTCCTCGTCTGTCGTTGGATGGAGGCCGGCGCTGGAACGACTTCAAGCGGCACACGACTGGGAGTGTTAACACCTCTCCTTTGGCCCCAAGATGCATTGCTGCTCACTGCTGCTCAGTTCCGTAGCACGTCACATCCTGCCAGAGCCAAGTTACAAGTGTTGCGAAATGTTGCGAACAAATCGTTTAGGATCGGTTAGGGCCTAACGGTTAGGGTTTCCCTTGCCACCCGTGTTTTTTGACACTGACCCCTTGGATGGTACCTTAGACCGGCCACCAAGCATCCGCACCGGCCATCAGGTGGCGGTTAGTCTTTATTGGAGAGCGCCATTCGCGGCATCAAACTTTGCGAGCTCAAGGTGCGCCACATTCCCTTCCATTTGATGGCTCGTAACACGGGACATGCGAGCCTGGAGCATCGTGGAATCCAGTTGCCCCCACACTTGGGACTTGGGACGAACTCATCAGGCAGTGATTCACGAAGTCCATTTCATCTGAGTCTCTTGATTCCTTTGCATGCTTTTCCAAGACAACACAGTGCATGTTAGGGAGATGCATAATGCTGTACAGTAGCAGTAGTTTTTTGCATCAGCGACTCGTGGAACGGTGAACTATCAGGCCAACGAGCCACGAAAACAAACATGCTCCGCGCTAGTGCCTGTGCAAAGACAGCAAAACCCCACGACAACGATGGCCCATCAATGCAGACACAGGCCCTAGAAGAAGCGGAGACAAGGACGTCCGAATGGACAGGAGGGCAACCAGAGAGCCGATTCTATTGGCAGTCAATCGAAAACTTTTCCAACCAGAAACCGCTGCAATGACTACGAAGCTCACGATGTCAACACATTGCGACTGGCATCGATGAGTTCCGAAAGAGTCTCGATCGCCAGGTGTGCCGTCCCAAAGTTTTGGCTGACGGCTATTGACTGGACGAACATCCGAGGCCTTCTAAACTCTGAGTCTCAGTGTTTGACAGGGGAGAGATCAAAACGATCACATCCCCCCGAATGAAGTTGCACTGGGGACCTGGTCCAAGACCTGTCCTTGTGCCATCGCAGGCTCTGAAATCCGGATGAGCAAGACATTGATGCTGCAAGTGCCGTACTTTGAACTGGCTCATGCCCAGGCCCCGTTCCAAGCTGCAACTGGGCTGGGCCGCTGACTTGGAGGGCGCCAAAGCATGCTGCCCTCACTTAGACTCAAGTCTCGCGGGTAGTTTTAGACCAAGACATCCAAGGTGCCCTTGCATGAATTTCCGCGCTGGCCTCGGGTATCATGAGAAGGCATCTCCACACAATAGCAGACGTGGTGCAACGTGCTGTGATGACCAGCCCATTTCACAGTGCAGGGTGCCAGCTGCTTCGCGCAGGTGTTGATGCTGTGAACTTTCGATGCTTCATGATTACAGGGGTTTGCGCACTCGGGCTGTCATCTTGTTTCGGGGTCCTCTGAATACGAGGTCCCGCGACTAAGCAACTTCGAGTTCTTTCGACTACCCTTAGCTCGATTTGATGGCGTTGGTCTCATTCTGATGGGTGAAGTTTCGGTGACTGTCGTCTCGCCTTCCGCTGCCCGCTGAGTGCCTAGTGTCTCGCCGACGGCGGTGGCCTGCCGAATTGCCCTTCGTGTTTTTTTTGCTCGCGGTGGGGGTCGTAGCGCTGTCTTGGATTCTGATGCCCTCTTTTTCACAGGCCCTTCATCCTGGTGATGTTTTTGGGGACAGCGCGTTGTCGCGGTGAGCGTGGTTTGGATTGATTGTTTTGCTCTCTTCTTCACTGCTTCATACTGTGACACGTGTGTGGGTGTCATCTACAAAAATCGGTTCTTGATTTGAGGCCCGCGTTTCATCTTCGGCAAACCTGTCACGTCCTAATACCATTTACAGCATAGATTGGTGATTTCGCGTTGGTATCGCGAACCAGCACAGCTTGCCTGGAAAATCCTGGAAGTTATTGTCCCAGTTGCCGCATTGTTTCAGAGGGCCAATGCTGGACCGAGTTCTACCGCACCATGAAAGGTTGTGTCTCAGAAGCTCAGGCTTCTCAAAGAGTCTCTGCTAACTGCATACACACACACACACTTCCGAGCTAATCGGTCATGAATCTTGTGATGTGCACTGATGCCATCCACAATCGCTGCCGCATCTCGTGATGCTGCACAGCCCTTCGAAGAAAGAGGTCAGACAGCAACATGAAATGGCCACTTGGCGGAGACCAGAACTCGACAGCAGCTTGACACAAAACGATGGAATTATCATGCCTGGTGTTGGAACCGGGTACATGCGGGAGGCCTTTCTGGCGGACCATGCTGTTATTGTTTTGTTTTTTTTTTTTTTCCGGGTTGGGGGTTGCGATGCTTGTTTTTGACCCGAAAAAGGTGGTCTTTGGTCTCGTGGTGCCGCATCTCGCAAGGCTTTCTGTGCTTTTCTGTTCTGTGCGTGACTCTCGGAATGCTTGGCTCGCTGTGCCGTCTTTCGGGACGATGGAGATGATGGGTCTTCCGCGATGCTTCGGGCTCTGGCGAAGCACATCGCCCTTTTCCGAAGCAAGGATCATTTAGGCTCTTTCAGAGTACTTGTTGGCTTTCTTACTTAGCACAGCACACCGTGCTCGGTGCAGGGGTCATTGTGCTAGCTAGCTGCTAGGACCAACCTGACAGGTGCTTCGAGCGATCGTGGTCTTCCGCTGAGACGGGAAAGTCTTGCCTGTCTCAGGCTTGCATGTAGATTGTAAGTGGTGTGCGCAACGATGTTTTGGTGCCTCTGCCTCAGCACATTGTTTTCTTGCCTGCGCGACGTTACTATGGATGCAAAAGAAGTTGGCACATTCACAGATGGGATGTGCACGACAGGCTATGGAGTCTTTGCAATCACTGCTTGGAGCATTCATTGCACTCTTTGAGCTCAGCATGCGTGGCCAGGAACGCATCGTTCAGCGGGTGGTGGCACATCTAGCCAGAGCCGCAGCTGCTGCTAAGCTCAGGTCAGGGCAAAAGACTCCTCAATTGGTCGGCACTTGCAGACATTGTAGTGATGGCGGGAAGATGCGGAATGCTAGAACGTCGGTAGCCGCCAGATGCCGAGGCTGACGTGCGCAATTGCCTGCGCGCCTGTGTAAAGCGAACCGAGGCACACCACTTGCCATCGAATTAAGACGTAGGTGTCGGGGGGTTTCGAACTGCAACGCCAGTTCCGTTGGTACGTTTCTCGGTCAGTAAGCCTCCTTGTGCGGTTAACATCCTGCCAACATTTGCCAAACACAGCTCCTTCTGCAAAAAATGTGTTCGCTGGTTTGGGCAAAGCCAAGGTACTTGTATTTTCCAAAATTCCACTGCTGCCAGCAGCTAATTGAGAACTCTGTTGTCTCGAAGCGACGGAAGCTGAGCTCGAGCGCTCTGAGAGTTCCACGTCATCCAAAGGGGAGAGCGCACCAAGAGCAGCAACGCTCAAGGCTAACGTGTCTTCATAAAGCTCGATGTCTTTGCGCTGCGCAGGATGTGGCCATCCAGCGTCTGCTGACGGTCCTGGCAGAGATGATGGACGAAAAGACGGACTACGACATGCAAAAGGCGGGGCCCCCCCGAAGCGAAGCGTGCGAAGAGCGGACAGAGGGGTTGAACGCTACTGAGCCGATACTCTGCACGCCGCCGGCCACTGCCTCGGCCTCGGCCGAAGACCACGGTGACTCTGAGCATCGCTAAGAGCTGGGGGGGGGGCCATCGGGGCCAGAAGGGAGGGGAGGAGGGGGGGGGTCGACATTGGACGGTGTCACTGCACTTTCGGGATGGGGTGGAGGATTTGTCAGGTACAACCCCCAAGACGCTCGGTGGCCTCGGAGGATGTTGGAGCTATGCCTGTGTGCAGCCAAAGCGTCGTAGGTACTCGCTCACTTGGATCCACGTGAGAAGGCCAAGTTGCGAGCATTGCAAGGTTGAACTGCGAGTGGAGGCTGTGACCCAAACCGAATGCAGGAGACCTGTTCGAAAATTCAGTGGCTCTGCTCTGAGAAAGAGATGTTTCTTGAAAGTGTATGGCATGGCTTGGGCCTTGCCACCCATTTGGTTCATCTTCGTTCTGTGTGCAAGGCCACCCGCGAACCTGAATGCAGCATTGCCGGACTCTCACGGGCCAATACTGGCAGCCGTCGTGTTTTTTCAATCCTTTGCTTCTTATGCCTGCATAGCATGGCAGCATGGTGGTTTTCGAGCCTCTCGGCCCATTTTCCTGTCCCCAGAAAACGAAAATGCTGAGGTGGCAACGCACTCGCATCCCACATGTCGGTGGAGCATGAGTGAGCTGGACAGCGTTCTCTCTTGGACGTTGTGCAAAGTCTATCTGTGATACAAAAATGTGTTTGCACGCGTAAGATCAGATCTTGCTTTTACTGGAGACATGTTCAACCGCGACAACGCAGAATACGAAGACTGCAATCACGGGCACACTTGCAGGTCCAGCGCAGCACACGTAACAGGACTTAGGACAAATGCGTTAGGCCTAGGAAGACATTTTCGTAGTAAGACCAAATGGCACCGAAGGAAGGACGACATGAAGTAACCGTTGATGCAGTGCTGATGTAGTTATCCCTTATCCACTGTGTACAGGTATGTAGAAGCAGATGTGTGCAGTCAAATTCGCCTGGCTGACCAGGCGGTGCATGCCTTCAGTTGTTTGTCGTTTGGACTGCGGAAGCTAGATAGCACACACCATTAGTTGTGAAGATTTAGAACACACCATAAGTTGTGAAGATTTGCCAACGCGAGCTTCGGGCCACTCCGAACTCAAATTCACTCTGCATGCTGGGCATGCTGTGGTAGTGCTCCACGGGAAGCCTGAGCGGCTCAGACATCGCTTCATTCAGGACTTGCTGGATGAGAAGGGAGGTTTTGTTGAGAGAAGCTCCACATTCCTCTCTGGATAAGTTACGTGCACCCTGTCACCTTCCTGACAGTATCATGCGTGGCATGGCTTTGCACCGCTTTTGGCTACGAGCTCTAGGGTTATGGCGGCTCTTTTTTAAAGCGCTGTGCCAGACACCAAGTCATCCAGATTTCTTGTACAGGTCTTTGGTACGCGACAGCTTAAAGAGCATGGCAAGCAAGTCCTTAAGTTTTTGAAACCTGGCCCACAATCGCAAGAGCAGAGTGGATTTCCAAGGTTGGCCAAATGGCGGTGGCCTTTGGAGAGGCTGCGCCCCGACACCAGCAAAAGAACTGCAACCTGACATCCGTTTCTTGGGCAGGTTGCAGTGGTGCCACATGGCTCTACGGAGCCCTTCGACAGGAATCCAGGGTGCCTGGACGCTTGACTTGCAGCTTTTCGTGTTTCCGTCACCACGCTTGCAAGGACGTCTCTGGATCCCGAATCTGGCTTGCCAGAGATGCAGGCAAGAGCTCGTTAAGCGCATGCAAGCTTGCTTTCTTTTGGTTGAAGGCTTCTCTGACCGCATGAGCTTGCTTCAGCTTTTGCGACGCAGCGTTTGCATGCGAGCTTCAGTGCAGCAGCTCGCTCGGATGGCATCTTCTGAGGCCAAGAAGCGCCGATGGATGGGCCGTGGCGGCTACCCGGGCCATCTCGCGGAGTCCAAATGCCAGCTTGGGGAAAACGGTACCCATCGGATCGCCGTACTTGGGCGAACGCTCTCATCGTTGCTGTTCGTGAAGGAGTTGCAGCGCGCACTCAAGACGCGGACAGACATCATGGTTGAGATTGCTCTGTTTCCAGCAATGTTCGACCCAGCTCGGAACATATACACACCCCATGCTATGTGTGAGTTCACCAGCAGCAACTTCTTGGCAACAGCTGGAGATCAGGGTGAGAATGCAGAGCTCTGTGCTCTGGAAGACGATTTTGCGGAGCGCTACCTTCGTCCCTGGCTAAAGCATGGCTGCGTGAGAGAAAGCCACGACAGCAAGCCTGCTCAGGGATCTCCAGTTTCGTATTCGGTCATGAACGGAGGAATGTTTCAACTCTTAAAGGACCTCGAGCAGGAGTTAGTGGAGGACAGTACGCCATGCGGGAACATATCTGTTTCATGCCACGAAGGCTTACAGTTGACGCAGATGTGGTACGACGAGATTTCGAAAAAATGGTGCCTATACAGTGAGTTCGTCAAAGGATCTGGGAAAGACTGGTACAGCGCGCACCAGGTTCCCAATGCGTCAACTTTTTACGATAATGTCATCATGGGGTTTGACTTGGACCCCAGGGGCGCAAGAAAGGCCAGCTTTAAGCAGATGTTGGAGTCGGCTTTACCCACTACAGGTTCGGTGATTCGATGTTTGGCATCTGCTCCGTGTGCGAGTGCGATGTCGTGCGTGGTGGAGTTTGAGGGCGAAGGCTCGGACGGGTCTGAGCTTAGCACGCTCGAGGATGCTGGAATACTCGAACTGGCTGAGCAGCTGAAGGCTTCGTCACATGCCATAGGGCGTGGGCTGCGGTTTCAGGGACGAGCGGTTTGGAACTTGACTGCCACAGTAAAATGGTCCAAGTCCATACGGAGCTCTTTTGCCGGATCCTGGGACAAAAAGAAGGTGGAAAACGAGATGGTGGATGCCTTCCGACGCGCCCGGAAAGCTTCGGACCAGCTGGGGCGCCACAAGGGTTTGGTGCCGTGTTTCCATTGGCAGAACGCGTGGCCGTTGACTGTGCTCAGCGACTCCAAAAAGCCGAGCTGCGTCTACGACGCTCGGTGTAAGCTCGGCTATGCCTCGGATGCTTTCGTCTTCTTTCCAGTTAGTGCTGCTACGGCCTTACGGCAAGTACGGGCTTGCAACCTGCTCCATCCATTTAAGAGTGCTCGTGATCTTGCTGCACTTGTGGCGCAAGACCTGGAGGGTACACCATCAGAGCTCTCCCGCTTGCCTCACCGCTCAGAGTGGAAGTTCCGAAGCGAACTGGTTGCAAACCTTTCACAGAGCCTGCGCGAAGCCTACTCGGACACTGGACGGGCAGATCCACAAGATGGTCTGGACCACACCTGGCCAACAGCCGCACAGCTGGCAAGCGACGAGTCATTGGTACTCCACCATGCAGATAGCCTGAAGAAGTACAGAAACAGGTAGCCCTCGGTAGCACTATTCAATCCTGGGTTGGCACTGGGCCCATGTACAGCTCACATGACTGCAGCCTCAAGCGTTAATGACGCATGTCTAGTTTTCCTGCAGCTGCCCCTGTCGATGCCCACGGTCATGCTGCTATCCTGGAAATCTTGAAACAAATCACACCAGCAGTTGCTCGGATGGTCAGCATGACGCTCAAGTTTTCAGGCAAGCCAGCCTTGCCAGCTCGCGAGACACATCAAACACGTGTCGACGTGGACGCTCTTGCGCCGAAAGTGAGCGAAAACTCCCGAACACACCAGCCGCGGATCTATGGTACTCGTACAGTAGTGCAGCGATGTGGAGCGAGTCAGGTTCGCTTCCAAACTTCAGAGACGCCGTGGTCCCAGAGCTCTCACTGGAGTGGTAACACGTTCGCCGCATGAGTTAATTCTAACCCGCTGGACTCCTGCTTGGATGTGGCTCATTCTGAGGCCCAGCACCTCGAGTGCTTGGCGACGTGGCTGCAACAAAAGCGAATCGCAATTGTGTACCGCTCAGCTGCGTTATTTTGAGCTATTCTGTGCCGAGGATCAAGGACGCATTTTCGGAGGGGGAGAGGCCGGGGGCCTGGCCGGGCCGGCGGAGGCGAAAAATAGCGGGAAACTTCGCGCATCCGTCGGATCCCGTCGGCTGTGGCAGATCGTTGTGGCGATTCCCGAGCAAGCCCGGCTCCGTGCCGGAGTACATGCGAAGGCCGTTTGCGCTGACACGAGAGCGAAGCATCCCTAGCACCGTCAAGATGCCACGTTTATGCCGGAAGGGCTGTCTAGCATCTTGCTTTTTGTCATCCCCCCCAGGGCTTTCTGCGTGAAGACGTTTTCGCTGATGAGTCTGCAGCTTCTGGTGGTCTTTGCAGAGATGGTTAAAGCCTCAGCAAGAAACTGCGCGCCTCATCATCGCACACATAGACAGTTGCCAGTCGAGCGCAGTGGTTGCGGCTAGATCTCCATCGACCACTACCGGCTGTGGCACAACGTCCTCACTGAGATGCGGGAGGGACACTTCATCGATGTGGGCCAAGAGGTGGGATATGATTCGGAATCCAGCACGAATGGTCCAGAAGGCTTTTGCAAGAAAGAGTCTTTGCAGGCCAGAGTTCAATGCTTAGCCGTTACAGCCAGCCGGCTACAGTGTCCGATAGGAAAAGGAAGCTGACCTCTCAGAGAATGCAAGCCCATGACCGGCGTCTTGCATCGAAGGCCGTGCATTCTAAGCCCTCCATCTTGTCACGAACGTGCGATAAGTAAGAGAAGGTTTCAGCATTGGTCGATGTGACTGGAGACAAGGAGAGGTCAAAAACAGCGACTGTCATTGTCAACCTAGGAGACCTGCTTGCCGCCTGGAGTGACAGCATTCCCACATTCAGGTGCTTTTCTACAGCTCCGGCTTTTGCACATTGATCTCCATCATGGCATCTTGAACTGGATTTGTTTTGCCGTCATATGCTCCCAGAGATGATGGCGGAGTGAAGCGAGAGCGACAGCAAGAATGGAATGCATACTGTCAAGCTTGAGGTAATGTTCTGCGTCAAGGACAGATACCCTGTAAATTATTGGACCCTTGGCAGAATTGGGTCCCCACCCTGATGCAAGCGAAATTGCGGTACCAGCACGTCATTCGCGTGCGAGGCTAATTGCGCTGACAACATTGCTCTCGGGATCCTTCTGGGGCATGACGCGTGCGGTTGTGCAGACAACCATGCACTTCCAGATTCTCGGATGCAAGGGAACTTGATTCTGGGACCCTGGGAGCCTCTGCGTGCAGAAGGATGGCTTCAGAGTGCATCAGCGCAAGGATCGTTGGGATCCTTTGCTGCTCGATGACGGGAGGAGCTGCAGCTTGGCTTCTCCTCAACGGGCCTGCCAGCCAAAGCAGCATGCAGCAGCATGCAGATGAACTGGGTTGCATGAGGTCTTGCGTGTGTCTCCGCGTGTGTTGTGTGTGCGGAAACACTGTGGGCAGACGCTCATTCCCACTGGGAGAAACAACTCTCCAGGCAGACAGCAGGCCGTAGGTATAAGGGCCCAAGTCTGAGGGGCCTCCGGGCGGAAGTTCGTCAGCGCGATTCGTTGCTCTCCACGATGCCGAAGGTTGCGTCGATGTTGGTGAAGGAGGTGCACGGTCCGAAGCTGCTGGTGGCTACTCTGGCTCCGGGCTGGTTACTGGGAGCCACGCTCAACGTGGCCTCCTCGACGTTGAGTCGCAGCCCTGCCTGCACTGCACACAGAGCTGTCAGGTGCTGATCAGCCGAGTTTTCGTACAGGAGACGGACCGGGTGGTGCTGGGATCCACAGGCGGGCCGGGAGGGATCGGCTGCCGGGAATTAGCGATGGCCTGGAGTGAAGGTGAAGGTTTTGAGCCACGTGAGTGATGCTTTCGTGAGATAGTCACCCCCTGTGCACACTCCAGGTTTATCGATGTTGCTGCTGTGCATCCTTTCGATGGATGCAGGTCTGGAGCTGTACTGAGTGATGCAGTGATGCATGATCACTTCATCGTTTGGGCAAACACGTCGCATCTGGCATGTAGAGATATACAGCGGTTTGCACAGTTGGAGTCGGGAGAGCTTGTCCGGTTCTGGTCCGTTCACACCTGCTCTGCATTCATGAGGCAGGTACCTAATCCTGTGCAAGCCGGATGATTTTATGAGTCTTGGTGGATATCTGAGTTTGCCATGTTTTTGTTTTTTGTGTTGTTAGAGGGTATTCGGCCAGTCCCACTAATGCCTTTGTGCGCGGACGCTCGCAGCCTGCCAGGAAAATTGTCGTTGCAATGAACTCCACGTTGATGGTAGTGGCCGCTTTGTTGAATCTCTACCAGTTCGAGCTTGCCCGGACACGTGTCTCATATATTAATGTATCCTCATGCATTCCTGCTGTCGCAGGTGAGCATCCCCTTCTTCGTTCTGTCTTTCTGCTTTATTCACACGGGCGAGGTCAGGGGCGAAGACGTTTGAGGATTTCGAATTTACAAGCCCAAATCTGCATGCATCGCGCATGGACCACGGTCGAGGAGCAGTTCCGCGTCAGTCCTGCTTGCATCGGCTAAACGGCTTCTGGATGTTTGTGGTGAGTGCAACTAAATTCAACACTCGCAACTGCTAGCAGCATCTGGCATTCACACGAGAGATCCTCCGAGCTGCTACGGCAACACGACAAGCAGAAGAGGCTGTTGTCGGGACAGCATGGCACAGCTCATCTTCCTCTAAGTGCAAACCGCAGCGTTGCTTCCCAGCCGGAATGGAAGACCAGAAGAGTTCGGGTTCACTCGCAGTCACCTGAAAGCTGTGCTGTCCAAGCTGCATCGGTCGCCAAGGCGGTGCCTGGAATCAATAGTGCTCAGGATGCTCACTCCTCTCAAGCCGAAGCTCCGAACCTTTTGCATCTCCATGTCGAAGCCTTCGCAGGCAGTTGTTGACGAAGACATGGAGAACACTTTGGAGGCCGGACATGCTTGTGCTTATGCTGGTGCAAGACGGAGCCAGCAGAGACTCAGGTGAGTCAATCCATGGAGCAGTCCACTCGAGTGGGCCAACTAGCAGCTCCGAAAGCATTCGCCGGGTTGGGGGGGGGGAGAGTGCGAGAGAGAGAGAGAGAGAGACAGAGAGAGAGCGCGAGAGAGAGAGAAACTTGGTCTGACCCGCCCCCTATGCCATGGGGAAGAAGAAGAGAGAAACTTGCCTTGTTTGAGCTAGCGTGCTTCACTGCTCCCTCCTCAGCACCGACGCGCGCGCGGGTGAGGGAATCTCCCTCACCCACAGCCCTGTCGAAAGAAAGCGAGAGAGAGGGGACTACAGGTGCGCGCTCGCGCGCGGAGGGTCGGGCGGACGTAGCCAGCTCTCCCCACCTGGTGGAGCGAGAGAGAGAGGTAGAAATTTAGCTCAAGCTGCGAGTGATCCTCCCCTCTTCTCTTTTCTTCCTTTACCTTTGCTTGCTGACATCGAGGGAACAAAGTCTGCTCTGTATACTGCGGGGTTCCGGGAGAGGGACGTGTGGAAGAGCGCAGCATATGGCAGCACTCCTCGAGGCGAGCGCGGGTTGCACTTACCAGTATACGGCAAGGCGAACCTACGAAGGCGAACCTACAGCGGAGCTTCTTCTACCAGCACCACCACAGAACAGAACAACGGCCGACAGCCCCTGCTGGAAGAAACAGTCACAGAAGCCCCGTCGTCCCTTGAAAGAATGCAAGCCGATGACCCGGAGCTTGAGGAGCCTAGTCCAGCCAAATGTGGCCAGGGGAGGCACCTCCCGTGACCTTGGCCGACATTCAGGCAACTCTCCAAAGCACTCTTCGACAAGGCCGTATCGAGCTCAAGACGGAGATCCGCACTGCAGTGGGGGGGGGATCGCACGGTTAACAGCCAGCGCAAGCTGACCACAGGGCAAGAGAAGCAAGATACAGTCCTTGCAGCGGTGCAGCAGCAAGAAGACTCAAGGACCAGGAAGGGGGCCCTGGAGAAGTCGCAGGTACAACGTTTTTCCTCCTATGTACATAGCCGGGAACACCCGGAGCGCGCAAACAGAGTCCTGACAACGGGCCAGCTTGAAGTTCTTCCAGTATGGTACAATCCTTCCTGATTCACCTTTTATATCCTTTTATGGAGTCACCTACTCCACTTCGTCACAACAGAATGGTGTGCCTGCAGAATGCAAAAGCCCCACAAGACCGATGATTCAAGAAGGCTTTTTGCCTTCCGTGCCGGTCTTGAGTTGCTCGCTCAAGCAGGGGCACCTGTCTTTGACTTGCAGCTCCCTGGAGTGAAACTTTTGGGACTGCCAGCCCCTCAAGCCCCAAAGCAAAGCAATGCAAAGCGATCGAGAAGTTGGCGGGGTTCTCCCGGAGCGATTGCTGGACGGGGTGAACCAGATCCTTTCCCAGGACCACCACACCGCTGTACAGAGCGAGCTCGTCGTCCAATGCTACTTGAACACATTTGGCGACCCCAGGCTCTACACGACCTAGCGGGACCCACCCTCTCCGCTGGACGGGTGGTTGGAAAGATGGGAACATGAATTGAAACAGCGAGCTCGGGGAAGCTCCATGCAAAGACATCGGATTTCACTATGCAGCGCATGTGCTTTGGGTGCCTGTTTGTGTTGATGTTTGTGATGGCACGTTGACGTCCGAGTTGCCCCGTCAATGCTTCGCTATTGGCACTCGCACACCCAGTGTAGACCTGATCAACTGCGCCAGCTTCCCCAGCCCAGGCAATGCCGCAGACGGAGTCACGACAGGATTCCCTATCTGCGACTCCGCACATGCGAACTCCAGCATGTGAACTCCGCACAGTGTCCGTGTTGCAGGAGCCCAGCCCACCTCTGAGGTCGGCTTCGGTGTCTCGACTTGAGCAACCGGCGCCATCAGGAAGTCACGCTTTCCGACCCGAGGAACCTGCGCTGACCGGCTTCAGCTTGTAAGCTGATTTGCTTCTGAAGCAGTTTTGGTGGCAGCCTCGGTCCGGGTGAGCACATTTCAGGCGGATAGCTGCAAATGTGGCAAGGAAATGCGCAGGGAACTTCGCCCTACAGCGCTGCCCGCAACTGCAAAGCAGTGAAATGCTTAGAACTGGCGGCCCCGAGGGGCCAGGCGCATTCCTGTGCATGACAGGCCACCAAAGGCTCAATGAGCGGCCATTACAGGGTGGCTAGTGGTGCATGCTTCTTGATCTGGGTATACGGGCTGATCACAGGCATGACGCTTGCTTCACTGTGGAGCTTCTGCCTGCGTTGGCGCCGCTTAGATTGGATTTCTGTTTGAAGGAGATTGTTTCCTTCTCCAGCCGTAGCTCGGCACCACAGAAGGCCATCCAAAGAGATGGCAGGTGCCACCGTACCAGGTAACCATTGAAGCATAAATATTGATTGGCATAATAGTATAGGGATGGACAAACATCGCTGCTACTAAGCTGATGCCACTGGAACAAGCAAAAGCAACTGGCGGCAAGATCACAGACCCGTGTGGCTTCGTTTCGAGCACAATCCGAGTAGGTAGGATGGCATAAATGTTTCAGAGCTTTCAAAACATCAAAATAAATGAGCCCGAGCTTCGAACGGATATGCCCTCTTGCAGGTGTTCTCGGAAAACGCATGCATTGGGACGAAGCATGCCACCAGGATCATCGCCGTCGTCTTCGTATGTCTTCGTATCCGTGTTACTTGTACCCTGAGTCCAGGGTTGCGTAAGAAAGTTGGTGGCTCACTGAAAACACGAGGGATCGGCCCTTCTGCTTTAGCTACATCCATCCGTCCAGCTGTTGAGCAAGCGGCACGGGCTTTTGGCGTTTGCAGGAAGGTGGGCTTGCCGGCCGGCCTCCGAGAGTTAGATGTCAAAAAACACCTGAGGAAATTAGTGTTTGTTGTCTCCACTTTGCGGTCCCACCGTCTTCCAACTGTGCTAAACGCGAAATAGGAAATCAATTTCAGATTCATGTCAAGATTCAACCCCGATTGAATCCCATCAAAAAGAACAGGAAATTCCAAACCCATAAATCCAGCCGGGTTGGGTTTCGACAGCTGCAAGCCTGAACATGAATAAAACTCTATAAGCTACAGAAAAAACTATAGTCATTATGCCTATGTCTTCGAACTGATCACCTTGAGGAACAAAACATAACAAAACTTGCCTCCATTGAAACATACGTTCCCACAGGCGATTCCGTGTGTGAAAGTCGGTTTAGAACGTTTTCGGCATCGAATTTCCCGTTTAAGGTTGCAGGAAGAGTCTTGTAATCGGCCATCTACTGCCTTCGATGTGGCACGTCACGGGGGGAGGAAAAACTCTGCAATGTCCCGGAGAAAAGGCAGGAAGCAGGTTCCTTCGGACTTTGCGGTTTTTTGACATCAGAGCGTGGTTTTCAGGCCAAAACCGTTCCAGAAACAGCACAGCTGTAGGGGCCTGGGTTTGAGCATAATATCCAAAATCAGCTTTTGCAGGTTCCATAGCATCGAAAGCATGTTTGAGGGGTTCACGCAGCTCGAATGGATTCTCGGGAGTTGGCTTTGAGGGTCAAAACCTAGGTTTTGTTGAGTCACGGCCAAGGTAGTTTTATTTCAAAGAAGTTACGGCCCTTTTGAGGCCTCGAACTTTTGCCCTGAAGGCCACCTGGCAGTGGTCCAGAAACAATGCCGAAACCGCACCGGGGCACGTTCGAAAAGCTTGGAGTGGCTTAGGTTGACAGAAAATCCCAAATCAGGCCCCATAGGGTTTTCAGAAATCTCGGGATCGAAGCCATTTTTCAGCAGCTCACGCAGCTAGGATGGATTTTTGGGATTTGGTGTTGAGGGTGAAAACCTAGGTTTTGCCGAGCCACGGCAAATGCAATTGCTTTTTTTAAAGTAGGTTTACGGCCCCGTTTTTTGCTTCTGATTTTACCTTTAAGGCCACCGGACAGTGCGCCAAAAGCCGTTCCTGAAACAGCATGGGGTGCTTTCGAAAAAGCTTGCAGGGGCCTAGGTTTTGGCAGTATGTCCAAAGCCAGGTTTTGCGGGTCCCATAGGGTTTCAATAGTCTGCGAGATCAAAACCGTTTTTGAGGGCTGCACCCAGCTTTAATGGATTTTCTGGATTGCGGTTTTGGTGTCAACACCTAGGTTTTGCAGAGCCATGGCAAAACACATCATTTGTGAAAGTAGATCTAGAGTGATTTCTTGGTCCTAAAATCACAGAAGATGCATGTTGCGAAAAAATACCTAGGACCGCAGTAGTCAAAACACACCAGAAAATTAGTATTTTTTCGGTTCTTCCTAGTGCTGTCAGCTATTGCAAAGGTACTGTTGTTGTCAGGGTGCAACAGGCGAGCATAAGGGAAAGCCTTTTTTGGGGGGAAGGGGGGGAGCATAGGGAACAGCCAGGTTCGCATAAGGATAAGCCAGGTTCGCACAAGGAAGAGCCCGGTTCGCATAAGGGCAGAAACCGTTGGCATTAGAAAAAGCCGGGAGCATACGGGGATAAACCA